CAGAACACACCAAAAGGATCCAGACCATGCCATGACAAGAAATGCAAAACCTGTCCCCACATCTCCACCACCCCCACTATTACTTCACCCCACAACAGAGCCATCAGCATCCCAGGATCTTACAGCTGCACCTCCAGGAATGTAGTATACCTCATCCAATGCACCAAATGCCCTGATGGCAGATATGTAGGAGAGACCAGACAACAACTGCGCACCAGAATGAATGCACACCGGAAATCCATCAAAGACAGAAACACCCAATTGCCGGTGGGGGCACGTTTCTCACAGGAGGGCCACTCTCTCTCCAATCTCTCAGTCCTGATCCTCAAGGGAAATTTACACAACACATCCCAGAGACGAGCCTATGAGCTCCATTTCATCAACCTGCTGGATACTAGAGATCAGGGACTAAACATAGACATTGGATTTTTGATACATTATTATCTGCCTGGCAACTGACTCCCCAGCCCAGCCCAGCCCCTGGTTTCTTTACTTTTCATTCCATCCAGGAAGAGCACACACCAACTGCTGCAGCTTCCTGAGCCTGACGAAGGGTTTTTGAACCCGAAAGCTTGCTTAATAACTATTCTCCAACCATTTGGGTTGGTCTAATAAAAGATATCAAATTCACCCAAGGAACCTTGTCTGTCTTTCTTTCATGGTAAATTTAGTCAAATAAGAATGACTATTTAAAATTCTGACATGAAATCTTCATTTAGGTGGAAATGATATTTGCAGAATCAATTAATCCAGCCATAAAAAGATCAATTATTTTCTATATTATAGACAGTGGGAAATAACGCACATGAGGATTTTTTTGTGCTGTTATTTAATAACAGATAAAAGCTCCACATTGAAGTAGCCAGTTGCACATACTGGCCGGGATAACTGCAGCCAAGGTGCCCAGAACACCGGGAATGGTTTCTGTTACCATTTTCCTCATTGTTGATCAAATAGGAATATTGCTGCCTGGACTCATAATACGCAAAGAGCAAGGATCATAAGTGAGAAATAAACACATAGGGGAGAGAAAGCACTTCTCTTAGGTCAAGGGCGGGCAATTATTTTGGGTGGAGGGCCGCTTCCTGAGTTTCGGCAAGCCATTGAGGGTCACATGACAGGCAGCCAGAGACAGATAAATATTAACTTTCTAAATTTTTTAGGGGCCCTGCAGGCTGGATAGAATGGCCTGGCGGGCTGCATCTGACCCGCGGGCCACATTTTGCCCACCCCTGTCTTAGGTAAAGAGTAGATGCATATTGTAATGGAAAGGAAGATAATGGTTTACCTTCACATGGCCATGATAACTAGGCCTTGTGCAGATAACTGAATAAAAAATGAAGCTGCAACCTTGGAAGAGCCCCTTTGGAATTGGAAATTCCATATATGGTTCAAAGAAATTCCAATGTTCAAGATGCACACAGACAAATGTTGTGTACAAAAGACACAATCACAAATAAATCCCCAGAAAAGTCAGCAAACAAATGGACACCTGATGTACACTGAGAACATGCTGTAGTTTTATAAGTTTTAAAAGATGACTTATGAAGTTCCCAAAACATTGCATCAACTGTTGGTAAGTCCCCAACATACACAATAAATCAGTATGAATTAATATTCTTCAGACTAATAATACAAAACACCCAAGCCCACAGGTATCTGATATTCACTATTCTTTTCTCACTAGGTTCATCAAAATGTAACATAAGAAATGCTATGCCAACAGAGGTCCAGTATTTGCTGTATCACAGGGGAATAGTAATTATGTGAGGCCTATCTAAACTGATCTGTTCCCTGCCCCTCTTATTTTACAGCTTCCAGCATTTAGAGACCTAGGAATCACTCACTTGTCCATTCTTCAGTGAATGGGCCATTTTTGCCATTTTTCACTAACTTAACTGTTTTGCTCCTGCCTGCCAATTTCATCATTTTACCAATTTTTCCAATCTTTTTTTACCATATTACTGTTTTATCACTTTTACCATATTTTACTGGTTTTATAATTTTTTTTCTGACCTCAATTTTTTAGTTTTTTACTATTTTACCCTGCTTTTCTATTTTTTTTACCCTTTTCCCTGCAGCTTTACTTTTTTTACTCTTTTCCATTTTCACTGTTTTCCCTGACTTTTATTACTATTTTTATTCTTTTCTCTAACTTTACAGATTTACCATGTTTACCAGTCTTTATTAATACCCCGCCCCCATCTTGACTGTTTTACCATTTTCCCCCCAACTTCAGCTTTTTTAACCCACTTTACTTACTTTACCATTTTTATTTCCCCAAATATATTGGGTTTTTATCCACTGCAGTAATTTGTTTTACTAATTTCTTACAAAAAGCTATTTTTTCCTAACTACCTATACTTTACCAATTTTATCATTTTTATCTCTCTGTATTTTTTCATCAATTTTTCCCTTAATTTCCCATTTTTTAACTTTTACCTTTTTACTGTTTCCCGACTTTACTGTTTTTATTGGTAAAAACAAATTACTTCATCAACTCTACAGTTTGTAACGGTAAAATTTTTACCATTTTCTTACAATTTTTTCCTAATCTCACCATTGTTAATAGGCAACTCTTATTGGTTTTAATTTAACGCTTCCCCCTTTACAATTTTTTCACTATTTCCCAAATTTTATCATTTTTAGTGGTAAATATTTTACTTTTTCACCACTGCCTACCATTTTATCATCTACTTTTGAATATTTTACTGTTTTTTCATCGTTTCCCCCCACTGGACTCTACCATTTTAAAACTCTCTCTAAGGAAGAAGGTAAAATCAATTTCTTAATCCATCTGCACTAGCCCATAAACTAATGTCAGCACCAACGCATGTTTATTTAAATTAAAGCATCCAGTACCGGAACGATTTACCTTATGGACGTCAACCACAAAAGTATCTCTTTCAATCTCAGTATGTGTTTTAGAAAGTATTTTCTTGTACTTCTTGTGTTCAAGCAGTCACCCTATGAGCAGACTGGGATCCACTGGATCCTGAAACCCATTGAGGGTGAGATTATAGCTGTTACTTTACTAGTGAAATGGGTGGCACCAGGCAGGTCACACCATGAACAGGGATGCCAATTCCGGTTTAATGAGATGACTGATAAATTCAGAACTGCATTATCTTCTAGCGTCTGCCATATTCTGTATGGATTGCTTGAAGCAGCTGAAAGAAAGTTCAAATGATCCTGAGGGAGTTGTGTGACATTACATATTGAAACCCAAACTACCATTGCCCAAATACATTTTATAGAAAAGAATGTCATTGTGAATAGCAGCCTGAGTGTTTCTTGCAAGTACCTGTTAATATACATGGGGTTCTGACAGATTAGTATCAACTGCCTCTTCCTATGACTTCAGGACTACTTTCATTCCCAGGTTTGTAATTTCCTTGCCATACATGCTCATAGTTCCCTTACTTAATGAACTCCACAGCCTCTGGAGTGCATGCCCATGTGGAGGGTTGAGTAGATTTCATTAGAAACCCTGGTAGACCTACTTGACTCATTCTACCCACAGCTCTTTGATATCCATAGTTTTGTAGAGAGGAGAATTTCTGAAGTGCCCCTAGATGTTCCAAGAAGTTGCTAAATAATCTATTCCCAACCCCTGCCTCCCTCTCTCTCACTTTTGCCTACATGTATTATGAAGAATTGTATCATCAAAATCTCAGATTGATCAGTATTACACATTGAATATTGTGGCCAACATGAGTTTAATGGGACTATTTTAATGTATAAGGATTACTTGTGTAAGCAAGGGTTTGCAGGACCAGCCACTTTTCTGTGTCCCTAATCACATTTCCATTTGCAGGAACAGCCACTTTTCTGTGTCCCTAATCACATTTCCATATGGAACAAACAGACTTCTAAAAATCACTTTAAACAGAGACCTGATTTCTGCTTATGAGTTTCTATTGACTATAATTTAAGATCACCCTTTTTCCATAATGTTACTTGATATATATCATCATCCTTTTTTACATAACACATGGTATAGGATGTAGTAAGAAATGGAGATGAAAAGTCTAAAATGTATTTGTTTAAATAACTAAAAATAAAAGCATGATGGAACTAGAAGAAACATTCTTTGAACACTATACAGCTGTTGTCTTACCTTCCTACTGGTCCCAGATCTCCTGAGTCCTGGCTGCCAGCTTCACTGGGAGTGCTCACTGATTTCGAAGAGGGAGACATAGGGGTTGGGACTAAATAATGAAAATAACAGGTATCCCATGTTACAACATGCAGCGACTGCACTGATGAAGAACAGTGTCAGACAAATCAAAACCAATGAAAAAAATGATAGTGGATGGATGATTAGGAGTATTTGAAATGGTGAAAGCAAATAAGGAAAGGAAAGAAAAAGAAAAGGAAGAGAATCAAGTGAATTTTAAATAATTTTTTGGAAACTTTATAACTGAAACTAATTTAGACAGGATAGAAAGCCAATTCTGGTTCTATAGATAATACACGGTGGTGGGGACAGCTATCTTTGTTTCTTTTATTTTAAATTTGAATTGTGTGAGGGACACAGACAGAGACACACAGACAGAGACAGAGGACATTTATAGATGTGCTCTGGGAGGTGGTGGTGGGGGTGGGGGGATGCTTTAATTAGCGTAGCTCTGAGAGCCGTGCTAATCAAAAGTGTCCAGAGCATCATGTGTATCAGCGTCTCTATGCCAAAAAACGATGGCAGGGCACTTTGAACTAAAGCTCATTGAATGAGCTTTAGTTCAAAGCTCCCCACAGCCGTTTTTCAGTGCAGGACACTGATACGTGACACTGGAGTCTGCTGGAGTGCGGTAATTACCACACTCCAGGAGACTTGATTAATTGAGTCTGCTCCAACGTGCTGTAATTACAGCACATCAGAGCAACCTCCCTGCATGTGTAAAGAAACAGAGAGAGGGGCACATAGAGAGAGACCATAGATATGTGTTGCTTGTTCATTAGGAACCTAGGCCTAAGCAAACTCCTTTAAATTCTATTAGCACTAGGCAATTAAATAATTACATTTATCACATTTTGAATGTAAAAGTAAATATACTGCCTACTGGTCACATTCTGCAGTTTCTTTTTGTAAATAAAATATAAGGGGAAAACAGAATAGAGAAATCTGCCTAGGGAAAAAAAAACTCTCTCCGAAAATCAAGTGAAAATGCATATGAACTTGTTGCATTTTAGTTGTTTTGCTGTTCTCTTCTGTTTTGTAAGGTAATTTAAGTTACAAAGAGACATAATGAATCTGTTGTTTGGGGCCTGATATATCCCCATTGATAAATAAATAAACATTTGATCAGACCCTGAGAGTTCTTTTTCTGTGGCTAAGAAAAACTACTGGAATATACTGTTTGCCTATATTTGCAAAGACAGCTCTGTCTTACCCAACTGGAAAGAAAAAACTTATAGCTTAAGGTCAGCCTGAGTTAAAGCTCTTATCCAGAGAAATAATCAATACAAAAAGTAAAAACATTCTGAATATTTTTTCCAAATTGTGTCTCAGCAATATGCAAACAATGAAAAATGTAGGGATGGCCCCTGTCTGTATTTAATGCAACTGTTCTTCAAAGCAGCCACATGGAAGAAAGCACAGTAAAGACAGGGATTTTAATGCAACAGTGAACTGTTTGGTTCAAATCATGTGCATTTCCTTTTATGGATTTAACAAAGTAAAACTTTCAACTATTTTGTTATACCTTATAATGTATAATAACATATCTGTCAAAAGACCTGGATTTTCCATGTGGCCAGACATTTCATACAAATTGTCACTAGGGACTGTCAAAGAAACAAATGTACTATAAAGAGTGAATTCATTTTCATGACAGCCCTTTGACAGGGACAGGTATGCAGCGGTTGCTTAAACATTCCATGTCCACTTATTTCACAGCTATTAGTTTTACTTGAAGCAGTGTGTGTGTGGGGGGGGGGGGTGAGACCAAGGCAAAACTATATATATAGTTTTGAATATATATACGCAAAGGCAAAATTACAGTCCTTAGCACATTTTAATTGTCAATTTAAAGGGAGAAAAATGGATTTCTATTGTTTAACCAAATAAATAATTGTATATGTTAAATTAAAGTTCTTTTGATAATGTTATAGAGAAATTTATCACTTCAAGTTAAGAAGTTGGACTATTCTGAGTGTTTGTATACATTTTGTTTTAGATACTACAAAATTATTAGACCATTATTTGGGGATAATGACTGGTTGAGTATTTTGTGGGTTTTTCTGTTAAAATTACTATTAATCAATTGCTTTTGTAGCATCTTTACATAATATATAAAATACAATATATAAAAGATGTAATTCTATTAAGGAAAGGCCCAGGCAGGAACAGATGCATCCTGAAGATGAATGCATGGCTGCACAGATGGCGTCACCAGCAGGGATTTTGCTTCTTCAACCACAAGATGTTTCCAAGAAGGATTGCTAGGAAGAGACAGGAATCACCTAACAAAGACAGGGAAGGGCATCTTTACAGACAGGCTCTCTAACCTAGCGAGGAGGGCTTTAAGCTAGGTTTGCCAGGGGATGGAGATTAAAGCCCTAAAGTAAGTGGGGAAGCAGGTCACCTGAAGGAAGCAAAAGTGGGAGGGGAAAGCAGGGGAGGCCTTTTCATTCTTCCTGAGAAAGTAGAGAAATCAGCTAATTACTTTAAATGCCTGTACATGAATGCACAGAGCTTGGGAATCAAGCAGGAAGAACTGGAAGTCCCTGCACAGTCACAGAACTATGACGTGATTGGAATAACAGAGACTTGGTGGGAGCTTGCATGACTGGAGCACTGTCATAGATGAATATAAACTGTTCAGGAAGGACAGGCAGGAGAGAAGAGGAGAAGGAGCTGAGCTTTATGTAAAACAGCTGTATGATTGCTCAGAGCTCCAGTATGAAACTAGAAGACAGGCCTGGGTTATGGCCAGAGGAGAGAGCAACAAGGGCAATGTTGTGGTGAGTATCTTCTATAGACCACCAAACCAGGAGGAAGAGGTGGATGAGGCCTTCTTCGAACAGGTAACAGAAGTGTCCAGATCACGGGCCCTGGTTCTCATGGGGGGCTTCAATCACCCTGACATCTGCTGGGAGGGCAATACAGCAATGCACAGGCAATCCAGGAAGGTTTTGGAAAGTGCTGTGGACAACTTCCTGGCATAAGTTTTGGAGAGTTGGTTGTGGTGTTCTTGATCTGCTGCTCACAAACAGGAAAGAATTGGTGGGGAACATAGAAGAAGATGGCAACTTGGGCAGCAGTAACCATGTGATTGAGTTCAGGAGCCTGAGGAAAGGAAGGAGAGCAGCTGAGTAAGGACCCTGGACTTCAGAAAAGCAGACATCAGCTCACTCAGGGAACTGAAGGACTCACTGGACTTCAGAAAAACAGACTTTGGCTTGGCCAGGATCCCTGGGAGCCTGTCTGAGGGGAAAAGAAGTCCAGGAGAGCTGTTTGTACCTTAAAGAAACTTTAGCAAGGGTGCAGAAATGAACCATCCCAAAGCACATGACAACTAGTAAGTACAGCAGAAAACTAGCTTGGCTTAGCAGGAAACTCTTGCATGAGCTAAAACACAAAAAGGAAGCTTACAAAAAGTAGAAATTTGGGCAAATGTCTAGTGAGGAGCATAACTATTGTCCAGGCATGCAGGGATGAAATCACAGAATCATAAAAAATGAGGGTTGGAAGGAACCTCAGGAGGTCATCTAGTGCAACCCCCTCCGCAAAGCATTACAATCTGCATCTGGGGCTCCTGTTACTGTAAAGAGAGAACTGGCAGTAGATGGAGCCCAGACAGCAGAGCAGGGGTTAGCTACAAGAGGGAATTCACCAAAGAAACACTGCTGCCTAGGCAGGGAGCTGCCCATTAGAGGGAAGGGGTATACCTGTAGGCAGTCAGGGGACCTTGCCATAGGGTAGCTAGCTAGGACAGGGAATAGGGAGCTAGGACAAAATGTTTGGACCCAGCATGGGTTTAGTTTGTGTTACAGCCAGTGGGCTTGGGAGTCTTTGGTTATAGCCAGTTGGCTTATTCCTTTGTTGCACTTTAGACTGGTGGGTTGGGTTGGGTTGGGATTATCAGGGGTTGGTGGAGGTCCCAGTAGTGCCTAAGGGCACGAGAGTGTCTTGAGCCTGTCAAGGGCTGAGAGAGCCCAGGACAGAGAGTAGGCTTGAATACAAAGGCAGGCTACAGCCAGAGAGAGACGGTAACCTAGCATATGCTGGAAACAGGTAGGGGCCGGGGGCCCAGACAGGGCCAAAGTATGCTCAGTTCCCAAAGCAGGCAGAGACAATGCCTGGGGGCCCAGAACCAAAGTATTGAGGTAAGAGCTGGAGCCCAGAAGCCAGGTCCAGCAAAGTGGGCCCAAGCTAGAAGGCCCTGCTAGAGAAAAGGGACGAAGGCTGAGAAGGACAAGGTCCTGACAAGGGAGTGATGGCAAAGTAACACATGTGAGGCATGGGTATGGCTGTAGGGGTGGTCAGAGGCTGTGAACAGCCCTAAAGGCTAAGTGCACAGTGGGCTAACAAGGCCCACTTAGCATAAAGGCAGGGTTTAAACTGATGGAGTCTGGGAGGGACCTGCTGACTGTCAGGAAAATGGTGGCCTGCTCTAGGACATATTAGGCAGCCTTCCTTCTGATCAATTAAATACATCAAGGCATAGCAGGTGAATGAGAAGGGGGAGGTACCCTAGAACAGGAGTCTACAGCAAATGTTAAGTGCCCACCAAGGGGTATCCCAGCCACACCTGGAGCCTGAACTTGCTTCACCAACTATATCATTCTGACCAAGGCTTTGTCTAGCCAGGTCTTAAAAACCCCCAAGGACGGAGATTCTACAACCTCTCTAGGTAATCTGTTCTAGTGTTTTATTAGCCTCCTAGTGAGAAAATTCTTCCTAATATCCAACCTAAACTTCCATTCCTGCAACTTGTTTTGTCATCTGCTACCAGTGAGAACAATCTAGCTCCGTCCTCTTTGACACCACTTTTCAGGTAGTTAAAGGCTGCTATTAAATCCTCCCTCAGTCTTCTCTTCTCCAGACTAAATAAGCCCAATTCCCTCAGCCTTTCCTTATAAGTCACGTGCCTCAGTCCCTTAACCATTTTAATTGTCCTCCACTGGACTCTTTCCAATTTGTCCACATCCTTTCTGTAGTCGGGGGCCCAAAACTGGACACTTCCCCTCTATCTGCTGGCAACATTCCTACTAATGCAGCCCTGTATGCTGTTAGCCTTCTTCGCAACAAGGGCATACTATTGGATCATATTTAACTTCTTATCCACTGTAACCTCCAGATCCATTTCTCCATAGCTGCTGCTTAGGTTGTCACTTCCCAGCCTGTCACGGTACATAGGATTGTTCAATCCTAAGTGCAGAACTTTTCCATTTCTCCTTATTGAACCTCCTAAGATTTCATTTGGTTCAATCCTCCAATTTATCTATGTCTCTCTAAATCCAAGAAAGAATCCTATGCCCTCCACCATATCTACTACTCCCCTCAACTTGCTGTCATCAGCAAACTTGCTGGGGTTGCTCTCCATTCCATCCTCCAGGTCATTGATGAAGATATTGAACAAAAGCAGCACCAGGATTCACCCCTGGGGCACTCTGCTTGAGACCAACTGCCAATTAGACATCAAGCCATTAATTACTACCTCTTGAGCCCAATGATCCTGAGAGTTTTCTGTCCACCTTACAGTCTATTCTTCCAACCCGTACTTCCTTAGTTTGCTTGCAAAAATGCTGTTGAAGACTGAAACAGGCTACCTAGAGAGGTTGTGGAATCTTAGAGGTTTTTAAGACCCCAGGTAGACGAAACCTTGGCTGGGATCATATAGTTGAGGATGATCCTGCTTTGAGCAGGGGGCTGGAATAAATGACCTCCTGAAGTCCCTGCCAACCCTAATATCCTAGGATTCTAATGACATCTACTGACTGGAATCACAGTAATATGCTTTATTGAAATAGGGATGTATTTCTATAGATGCTGGTTGCTTGAACTGAGAAATCAAGATCTCAGTTCAGTACATTATCCCTACGCTGAAAAATCACATAAGCATGTATGTTCAAGAATCAAGGCCTGACTGTTTTCTTGAATTTCTAAAAGACTCTAAATTTTGTAAAATCTTAGCCCCATTGAGATCAGTGTCACAACTTTCATATTGCTAATAATTGATTTTTTCTAGGAAATTTATGATGCTTTTAAATGAAATGTAGAGAGAAATAAATGAAAAACAAGCAAACTAGTTTCTCACATCAGGGGCCACAGATTAAATCACACACAACATAAAATATATGCAAGTCACATTAATACAAACACAACAATTAATGAAACTTATAGGATAAAGTGAAGCCACATGTATCGAGAGTGAAGACTTAGGCTTTAAGAACGAAACAATCAAAAAACAGGAAAGCAAAAAAAGTACTGATAAATTATACCTCAGCAGTAAAAAATAAAGATTTGATGGCATCTGTTAATATTTTATATTTCTCTTTATTATCTCCCTTTACAACTTTATTTGTTTTAAACTATTTCCAAAGAGAACACTCTACATATATACTTCCCTGTTGCTATATATAGATACCAGAATTGTATTTATGGAGCAATAACTGGAACTAAAGAAATAGGATATTAAAAATAATGACATTGTTTGTGGTCTTGGGTAGATGAGAGAGAATATGAACAACAAACAAAGAAATTAAAACTACTGACATTCACAGATATGTTCCCTGTTTGTATTTATGAAAATTCCTTTATAAAAAACAAAGCTGATGTCTAGTGATGCCAAGTACTGGGATCACTATGAATTGGTATTTATGGATGACATGAATGGCTTGCAAGCAAAAGAGTTTGTTCTGCTAACTCAGCCAAAAATTAAAAAAAGGGAAGCATGCTTTAATAGAAAGAAGGAATTAATTGAGGAAAAGCCAAATGTTAATAGGTGCTTAGCTAAGTACCTAGAGGTGGTTCTGGGGATATACCAATGCTCTGTAATAAAGCCTCAGTCTCTCTTCTTTTGCGGTCTAGATCTGAATCCTCCTGGGTTGGTTCTTTCTTTTGTTGAAGATCAGCCTAATATAAAGACAATTAACAAATAGCTTAAGAGAGATAAAGTAAGATTTCTTGACTGCAAGGAAGATATTTACTTGCAATAATTCCTGGCCCATAATAGGAGTACTGTGAAAGACAAGCAGCTAAAAACTTAAGGGATTTATAAACAATAATAATAATCTCATCCAAACTAAACTGGAGGACTCCACTGATTTTTGGGCTGGACTGATATATAAAGTCATTTTCAGGAACTGACACAAATTGCATGGACTAGGCAAACATTCATTTAATGGCACAATGAGATCTCTTCCCCAATTCCAAAAATCACGCCTTCTGCCATGTCACACGTGCATGGCAGGACACACAATTTTGGAATCATAGATCAGATGTCAACTATGCCATTACATCTTGCCTGGACAGGAAGAGCCCAGGTTCATGAACCCTGGGGCTGGAACCAACAGGCCTGGTGCCAGGCCTGGGTTCTACAGTACAGCCAGTTTCAGATTCCAGTGGGTCCCAAGGCTGGGACTGACAATCAGCTGATTGCCAGTCTCAGCCCTGGGACTGCACCAGAGTCTCGAAATGGATCCCAAAGCCCTGTACACTGGTATATCAGAAAACCTCATATATAGACCAGCTGTACGTATTTTTTAAGGTCCCAGTGTGCTGGGGCCCCGGGATCCAGGATGTGGGATCCACATGCTCTGGATGTTAGAACACTGTGTGTACAGCTGGCTGCACACGTAGTTTTTAAAGGTCCCAGAACAGCAAACCCCAGGATCAGGGAACTTCAACCATTCCTGGGGTCCCCATGGCTGGGATGTGTCAAGTGCCTTGCCCCACAGCTCTTGCACTGTGAAGTAAGGGAGCCAACCTGCTGGGGCACAGGCAAATCCATGGCTCTCCATTGCCTGGCTCCCCTAACCCAGCTGATGAGTTCCCCCCAGTCCAGTACCCTGAAAACGGCAGGGTACAGCCCCATGCAGGGCTGTGCCACATAGCAGTCAGTCTGCCAACACAGCAGAGCTGTCAACCAAGCCTCGCCATGCAGTCTGCATCAGGCTACATGGTGGGGACCATGTCACACATTCAATCTAAGGGAAGATGGCATTCAGCCACAAAATTATACACTTGTTGTGGAATAATTTTGTGGCTTGTTTCCCATTTTGTTGCACCATTAACTGCCTGAATATGCGGTCAGGTTACTATTTAAAATTCCATTAACTGGTTAATCGTGACTTAAAATGTACAATCTGCTAGGGGCCTATAAAAATGAATGAATGAGGCCCTGCTCCTGCTCCCATTTGAGTCAAGAGTAGAACTCTTAGGCTAGGTACAGACATTCAAAAAACCTGAGGTGAAATCTATCTAAGTTATGTGGTTTTCTGTAAGCAGCGTAGTTTAGATCATTCATGATCAGAACACACAATTGCCCTTTGGTGGGGAAGCAAATCTTAGACTGGGTTCCACCATTTTTAAACCAGCCTATGAGTGCCAAACTTCTGTTCTTATGGGTATAGATTGGTTTTGTGTGCCAAATTTCTGTTCCGTTATGAATATGGACAGGTTTCCGATCACTTATACCAGTAAAAATGTAATGTCTGTACCTGGCCTCTATGACAAATGATGAGAGTTCAGAATCCACGGTAAGGGGAGCAAGTGTTCTGAATTCCTGGAAATCTGATTTAGTTTCTATGAGACATTTATGACAAAGAAGTTTTACCAGGGAGAGAAGGCTAGAGGGTGTCTGAGTCCTCCTAGATCTTGAAACCTATGATGAAACAGGCAATTTGCTGTCATGGTTGCTTTCTCTCTCCATTGTCTTTCTAAATGAATTAGGTGAGGTAAGGTGGCTGTCCTTCCTCCTATTCCCCTGCTAATTTTTGGGCTGTTTGTTGGTAATTGAACAAAACCATCCAAAATGAAAGGAGATGAAAGACACCATAAGTTGGAAGTCTGATTTCTTAAATCGCATCACATTCCTTAGTAATTCTATGAAATACATGTACAATATTAAAGTGTCAGTTTAAAAGGAAACCAGTTATTAGTAAGGGATAACAGGTGCTTTAAACTATAGTAAGTGTTGACATTTGAAGGAAGGGAAACATAATTGCTTAATGCTTCTTTGACTTTGCATGAAAATTAATATCCATTCCCTGTCAATTCTCACCTCTATTCTGCTAAGTGACTGAATAAAAAGAAGTATAAATCCCTTAATGAAAAACCTAATGCATATTGTCAAGGACAAATAAACTAATATGTCAATCACATTTTAATAGAACTGAAGGCTGCACAGATGCCAGGAGGCTAAAATGCAGTTGCAATTATGCTTTACTTTACTGGAGAATAACAATTGTGAATCTGTTACCTTAGCCAGATCGAGCCTGTCTTAAGAGTATGAAAATACTTATTATGGTTGTAATAGCTTTAAAAAAAAGTCAACCCCCTTTCTATCTCCCTTAGCAGAATAGAGCTCTCTCCTCCACTAAAAGAAAACCAGAAGAAAGCCCTGAAGCAAATCATATTTTCTTTCTACATACAGATCATATCATGTCAGCTAGGGTTACCATATTTCCAGTTCCAAAAAAGAGGACACATATCAGGGGTGGGGGCATATGATTGTGGAGGAGGCAGTGATATGACAGTGCCCTATCCTTGCCTGTTCCATTGCCCCTCATTCCCAAACCACAGCCCCACCCCAGCCCTGCTGCTGCATCTCAATCCCTACTCACAGACCCCTGGCCCTGCCAGTGCCCCTCATTCCCAATCTACAGTACCCCACCCACCTGAGTCATACTAGTGCCCTTCAATCCCAACCCACAGCCCCCTGAGCCTACTGGTGCCCCTCACTCCCTGCCTGCATCCCCCTGGCCCTGCTGGTGCCCCACACTCCTGACCCACAGTTCCCTGCCCCCCGGTACCCCTCACTCCCAAACCACAGCCCCCCCAGCCCTGCCAGTGCCCCTCACTCACAACCCAACTCCCTGCTCGCTCCAGTCCTGCAGTGTCCTCCAGCTACCCTACCCGTGTAAGCAAGGGCACCAGTCTGGCCATGCAGCTCCCTGCTGCCCCTGAAGGCCCCCCACCTGCTTCCCATGCTGAAGGGGCAGGCGCCCTCCCCCACCTCCTATGCTCTGCTGCAACCCCAGTGCCTCGACAGCTTCCCCCAGCGCTGGCAAGCACCCATCCCCCCTCACACACCCACCTCCTCCACACACACACACAAACACACACACACACACACACACACACACACACACACATACAGTCCCCAAGCCCTAGCCCTCCAACCCCTGCTCCCAATAGACTTACCTGCATCCAGCTGCTGGGGCTGCTTCCACCACCCTGCCTAGCTGCATGCTGGCCACGTACGTGGATGTGGTTCCCCCTGCCTCCAATCACCCTCTCCCGTTCCCCCCAGCCCCAAGCAGCTCCTTGCTAAGGCAAGCCGAAAAGTGCCTGGAAAAACCTTGATGCTGAGTAAAGCAAAATCCAGAACATTTGATCAAATTAAAAAAAAAACAGACAGAGATCAAAGAATCAAAAAAGAAGACAGGTCCAGGAAAATCTGGATATATGGTAAACCTATGTCAGCTGAAAATAGCTTAAACATATCTGTTGTGAAAACAATTTTTGTTTTAAACTTCCTTGATTGAAAATAAGCATTTCTATTTTGGGTCTACAGCTAAAGTAGTTATAAGAATCATTTTATACATGAAAGCCACCTTGCATAAACAAATAAAGATGGTAAGACCTAAGCAAGCCCTTGCTGTCATTTAGAGATGCTATGCATATTTACCTCTTTCTTTTTCCTCTCTTCTTCCTTCCGTTTTTTCTCCTCTCTTATTTGTGCTAACCGCTGCTTTTTGCGCTCCAACTCTGCTTTTAAATCACTTTTGTCTGACATTGCAGCTCTGTTAGATGATAAAATAAAATTAGAGCAACTGAGAAAAAAAATAGAAGTAAACATTTTTTTTTACTTATTTAAAATGTGACTTTCTTGCAACAGAAGTTATGTTTATGACATTCCTTCAAATGTGTATTTATATAGGCAGTAGGCACTGGTGCTTGGAACTACAGTGACACTGCTGAAAATAACACCTTTGTCAGGCAATTTCCCATCCTAGTATCCCCAAAAGGTATGCAAAAATCTGTACTAATTATCTTCATTAAAGGAGCACCTTTGTCAGAAGTACCTATTTTTTGTTAGTCTTTTCAGCACTTCAGGATCTAATTCAAATCTGTTGAATCATGTGGAAAGTCTCCCAATGACTTTAACAACCCTTTTTTGGATCAGATGCTAGGGTACATATCCACAAAAGGATTTAGGAACCTAAAGTGAGACCTGGATAGTATTCAGGCATTACAAATCTAATCTCACCCCCATAGTGCCTTAGGCTCCTGTAAAGATCCCTAAAGGACCTAAGATTCTGCTTCAGTATAGGCCTAAAACTGCCATGATCTTGGCAGGGCTGAACAGGTTTGTACTTATCATGACTAAGTGCAGCAATGCTCAACCTTTTTTGTCCAGTGGGCTGGATGGGCAGTGCCCAGTTCCTCCACGGACCAGATCCAGCTGGTGGACCCAATTGGATTCCCCAGGGCAGGTGCAGAGGGAGGTTGAGCCAGCCCTGATCCAGCTGTGTGGGGGGAAGGGGCTAGGCCTGGCCCCAATCCAGCCTCATGGGGCAAGGGGGCATGGCCCAGTCCTGTGGGAGTGTGGCATGGCTCAGACCTGAACCAGCTAGGCACAGGGAGGCATGGCCCAGCCCCACAGGAGGATGGGAGCATGGCCCGGACCCACAGGAGGAAGTGTGGGGAGGAAATGGGCTAGCCCTGAACCAGCTGCACAGAGGGATCTGTGCTGACCTTGATCTGGCTGTGCAGGGGGGAAAGTCGGAGCCAGGCCATAGGAAAGTCAGAGCTTGGGATTTCAGCAGCAGGGAGGAGTGGCAGTTTTAACTGCCACCGATACCCTACAGCCAAATTTCCTGACCCTCATGGAGCCCCATGGGCCAGATTCCAAGGTTTGGCAGGATGCATTTGGCCTGTGGGCTGGAGGTTGAGCACCCCTGACTTAGTGCATTTGGAATCCTTAAACTAAGTGTTCCTCTTTAGGACCTGTATGGGTAAGCACATTAGATACAAGCCAACAAATCAAGACAACTACCACCACTTCCATTCTGTACTAGGCCCTCCTCAGATTGGGGGCATCAAGCCAATCTCTCTTATCTCCCAGGAGAATGCTCTAACCACAAGGCTAGATGTGTGGAAGATAAGTAAACTGCACCCTTCTCTCCTTCTTGATGCTGTATCGTTTTGCAGAAAAATGGGCATTGTTCATTTGTCCAGAGAGAGGGAGACAGAGTTAGTGAGCACAAGATTCTCTAACCCAGCACAGTGATTAGAACATTCCTCCATGAAGAAGACCTAGATTCCAGTCTCTACTCAAAGGACAGTTTATGTAATTTATTTTATAAAATACCTGTTTTAAAAGGAACGTTGACATGTATTCTTGCTTTGAAAGGAACAAGTTAGGCACTTATATCCAGGAGAGGTTTGGGGCTGTGAGTCCCAATCTGACTCAGGTGACTACCTGCGTGCCAGAACTATATCTAAAACTACAAGAAGAATGAGACAAATATATTCTTACCATTTCTTGTTGGCCACCTTGGGTGCCTGTACAAATCTAAGATTTTGAGAAGGGGGTGCAGATGGTATGGCACATCATTACATATAACAGAGCACATTTTTCTCTAGATAAAGAGAAGCTAGTAGCTTTACTAATATGCTAGGGCGGCTAGCATTATATTATGCAGTTTAAGATCAAAGTAAAAACAAATATAATTATTGGAATGTTCTCTCATTTTCTAGATAATACATTACATTTAAAATACCACAATAAACTAGGAAAAAATAGTTAAAAATTGTGTCCCATAATCATTCTAATTAAATATCAGCTGATTGTCAGTCCCACTCCTGTGGTTCAGATTCATAAAACAAAATCTAACCTTCTTAAGCATCTTCACAGTGCCTCCAATACCTCCCTGTCAGTCATTTCAGAAAGGTTCTTTGGGTGAATCTGATATCTTTTATTAGACCAACTTAAATAGTTGGAGTACAATTTTTAAGCAAGCTTTCAGGTTCAAAAACCCTTTGTCAGGCTAATAAAAAACCCTTCGTCAGGCTAATAAAGGAAATCAGATTCACCCAAAGAACCTTGTCTGCCTATGTCCTTAGACCAACACAGCTACAACCTACACCCCTATCAGTCATTTCTTCACTTGAGTTAAAAAGGTCTGCAGGGCTGTGAAATAGAAGAGAGACCTTACCAGGAGTGGCTAGCAGACAGCAACATTGTAGAAGAAAGGATAGTTTGCATAGGGGAATGTCAAGACCATTAAAAAGATAGAGAATCCTTAACACCTGTCGAATAGAGAGAGATTAGCAGGAGTCAGGGAGATGATATAACAAGCCCTGAGGTAATCGACTATCTCAGGGATATATGGATAGAAATGCTGTTTCCCCTCCCAGGCAGGTGGTTTTAACTACTAAGTGAAGCAGGGATCAAGGGGTGCACTTTAATGTCAGTCTCGCTACATTTTTATTTCATGCAAGCTAAATCATCCTTTGAGCTAAGACTTATCAAGTAGTCAAACTTGGTTCGAAGTTTCTTTCTAGAATATTAAATGATGCTTACAACAGGGTCAAATTTACTCTCCAGTGAAGGACTTATACAAAGTCTTGACCATGTAACCTTAAGATGCTTTTGAAATTCTCCCATTCTGTACTGCCATTAGAACATGCCTTCCAAATGAGAAGAGAAGGGACTCTCCCAAGGTTTGACACAAGCAGAAGCAGATCTCAAAAGCGCACCTGATGCCAATCTGATTGCTAATCCACAAAAATGCTTTACCAATCTTTGACTTAAATCACACATTGTTTATTCTGACTGTAACATCAGCTTCAGAGTCACCATAGATTATTACATAATAGCATCAGTAGAGATTTGCTCAATAGTGGTTTAGTTATAGATTCCTTCAGGGACACTAATGCAGACTCTAGCATAAAAAGTTAATTACACCCTTTTGTATTGACAATTCATGCATTATTGACCACAGCCCCATTACAGCTCAGAAACAATCAGATCAATGCAAATGTCATGTTCATGCCATAGTTTGTTATTTGCTCAATGCATGAGAAATTTAAATAGGTAACCCTCCATTAATACTAATTAGGATATAGCTCTCATTATGACCTGCATTGATTGGCCATCAGATCTGTATATATACACACTAAAAATGATACAACACTTCCACCGGTCATAAATTTCTCCACATTGACAAGACTTTTTCATCAAAACAATAAATGTATAATTGGTTCATGCTATAGAGGGTTCTGTACACTACAGCTGAAATGATTAGGTTGTCTTTGAAAACATTCTTTTTGTAGATGCAGGGAGGGTATCAGTGTAAAATGGAGCACAATGTAGCAACCATGCAGCAGGTACAGCTGTACCCGTAGCAATTTTTTTTTTAAGGAAATGTTTTTGTGTCACAAGTCAAATCAGCCAAATCAATCCCAAATCCATGAGTCATTCAAGAACCAGATGTGGCCCTGCTATTGGCAAGCATCCTCCGTCCCCACCTGGGGCTTCAGATGCTTCCAAATCCTTTGGCGGGCATCCTACATGCAGGCCCAAGCCCAGAGGCTTGGGGTTCGGAGGCCCCGAGTTTTGCTTGCCCTCAGCCGTATGGCCACAGGAGCAAGCTAGGGAGGAGCCTCCCGTTTCCATGAAGTCTAGCCGAAATCTTCCCACTGGAAGTGGAAGTGGGAGGCTAACTATGCATTACCTCAGTCAGGGTACTACCTCCCTGTGGTTTTCCCCAGCCAGTAGGAAAATCAGCCAGTAGGAAAACCACCTTGGTGGTCATGGTATTTCCCTTGCCAGGTAGCTGTAGTGATAGGAACAGGATCAGAAGCATCTGCAGCCTATGCCAAAGCTATCCTACTCTCTAAACCAGCAGCTTTAACATAAAATTGTGCCGAATAGGGTAAGTCATAGAAAGAAATGATCTTCAGACTGATGTCATAGTTCAAACACACCAGCAGTTAAACCACTTTAACAGTGAATGAAGGGCTAAAGTTCTCCGGTTGCTCAGGGTCCAGAGAGCCCTGCTGGAGCTTCCAGGGTGATTTCTTATTAACTCAATGCAAATGATAAAAACAGTATTGGGACTGGGAGCACAAGGGAGATTAAATTAGTTAACAAGCTTGACCCCTTGTGTGCATATTACATACACAGGTGGCCTTAATCTTTGATAGTCAACAGATTATTCCTGCCTACTCTTTGCTCCATTCATAAAGAAATAAAAGCATTTGTTTTTTTCTCATTCTGAAAACAATGACTAACTGTATTCAACACAAATAACCAAAAGTAATATCCCCTTTAACAACAATATTTTTTTTTGATCAGTCAGTATAAGGTTACTGGAGATAGCTGAAAAATAATACAGATTTTTTTCTAATGATAATATTGGTATCTCCTTTCAACCAGTGCTAGGATTTGTGGTCCATGTGGTAGCAGAGCCTCAATTCTGTTTGAGGTTATTTTCCTAATTTGTTTCATGCATTTGAATTTTAATTTTACAATTTCCACCTAGAAGCCTCTTAGGACAGATAGAGGATTTGTTTTTTGGGGGTTTTTTTCAGTCCTGCAGTTGGGCAACAGTGAGTGGGAACCTGTTTCTAAGCAAAAAATATGCAAATTTTAGTTTAAAGCTGATGACAGAAACCCTGATGATTTATCTTCCCTTTCTGTTTGGAAACCTATTCACTGCTATCTGACACAAAATAGTTCTCTTAATGTCATGAAAGCTAAATGGCCTTGTCCAAGATAAGCAACAGCTATTTA